TCAGGAGCACCACAAAGGAGTTACATGCCAGACAACTGGAACAGGAGAAACACTAGGGCAGGAATCACAAATAGAAGGAAATGTTGGATTTCAAACAGACATGAGACAGCAACCTGCCAGTACTGCAGCCCTCAAGGGTCAGTCCTACAGAGAATGAGGACATCTAAAGAAAACCCAAGGCAACACTGGCTCTCTGTTATCTGAGAACATCCACAATGCTGCCGACGGTACTCCTGTGCAGAAATAATGTACACCTGTGAAAAACCACAAAGAGTCGGCAAATACAGCTAGCGGATTCACTTGCTGGCTTGGACAGCATCTGAAGAAAGAACTATTTAAAAACACAAGAGGTGGTGTTATAATGAGGAAACCATGGAGAGCAGGAAGCCTATGATTATTGACAGAAGTTGATTAAGAAATGGATTATTGTCTGTTAGGATGTTGGAGTATCTACTATCACCTCTATCCTATGTATCTTTATGTAAATTTCCTTTAATTGAGGTATTCATTTACAATCATTATTTTCATTGGTAATGTGCTTTATTTGCATTTGAAAGCAAAAAGAGGAAAAAAATTAAACACGACTGGCTGACCCCTGCCATGTGACAAAGGCTTCGCTTTTTGTCACTCTGACCCAAATGGATTAGGGCCAGGAAATAAAGGTCAAGCTCTTACCAGTACCTCCATGTGTCACATTTTTATTACATGGAGTTTCCAAGAAAAATATTCCAATTTGCGTCAGTAATTACTCGTTCTTTATGCATTATTATGTCGGTTTCTGAGTTTATTTTGAATTCAGAAATTACCTTTGAATGCCAGGCCTATTAAAAGTGAACCCTTTGTGAAATGTCCTTTAGCAGTTAGATGTGATAGATTTTGTAGCTGTACATGCTCTTTTTTCCCTTTTAAGAATCTTCTTTTTTACAGTAGTCCCCCCATCACTTGAGTCATAAACTGCCAAGCCCATGGTTGGATTATGTTCCTTTGTGAATTTACAAGTTGCTTCCCTAGTTAGATGGTGTACGAAAACCGTCTGTAATTGCTAAAGCAGTGCATAGGGCAGATGAAGTAGGAGCCAGTCTCTGGATGCTGCTGGATGGCGTGTAGGTGAACACATGCGGGACGTACCCTGCGTGCTCCTGTAGCACACGAGAAGCTTGAGGTCAGGCTTTAACCACCAGTCCTGCAGGAATTGTTTTGGGGCAGCAATGAACATTTCCAAGAGAGGCAGAGAGGAGAGCCTCCGGCCGCTGAGGCTCCCATGTCATCACCCCAGCCAAGGGGTGGCCAGCCCCACGGTACTGCTGTGGTGAGGTGTCTGAGGGTGGCAGGGGTTCCACGGGCACAGCTACAGCCCTGCAGGCAGGGCTCCAAAGATAGGCTACTGAAGAAGTTTCTGGTTTAGTAATTTTAATGATAACTTTTTAATCTGGTCATTATTTCCTTTGATTGCTAATACCTTGACCTCTGGTGACAGCTGCTGCTTATGCCTGCTAAACTTTAATGCAGGCTACCGTAAAGAACATTATGATTATTTGAAAAGGCAGAGTGTAATGCATTTCAGATTAACAGTGAAAGAAAAGCTATTCAAGTTAGAGGTTCACTTTGCCATGTTACTCTATGCTGGTTTCCTTATTATCAGTACAAAAACCAAAATGAGAATAGCACATCTTTTAATTTTCTTCCACTATTACCTCTTGATTTGCATTCAGAGCTCCCAGAAGAAATACTGCTGAATTCAGAGCTAGTCTATTTAAGCTGCATGGTGTTTAAAAATTATTGGAAGAGGTTAAGGTGCTGTATATTATGCAGTTGACCTTACTAAGAAGCTATGTTAACAATTTAGATTTATAATTTTGTTAATTTTTTTCCCCAGCAAAATTCATTATCTCTTTTGGAACCCCTGCAGGTTAAACCTTTTGATTTCTCTCTAACTTATTTTGTAAGATTTCTAAATTATATTTAAACTTCTTGTACTTAAAGGTTGTTTTGCCAGTGTCTCTGAAAAGAGGGAATTTTTTTTTAATCTCTGTCTCTCTCTTTGTACCTGATCTGCAGAGGCGGTGTGCCTTTACAGTATTTTACTTAGGAAGGCAGAACCCAAATCCTCAATCTGCAGAGTCCTGCAAACACATTTGAACTCTTTTATCTGGCACTATCATGTCTTTGGGGCTGACTGGGTTTGAACAAGATGTCCACAGAAAATATTTTGGATCCTGCCTTTACCAAACAGCTGTAGTCTCCTGGTATGAAGGATTCAAGCCTCCCTGGATTTAACCTTTGTCCCCTGCCTTTGTCAGCACCAGGCCTGGTCATTGAGAAAAAGAGCAAATGCTAACAAACTGACACTAGCGAAATGTGCCAGGTAGGGAGAGCTGTACCCTGTGACTCTTTGGGCTCTGCAGCCCTAAACAGAGATGTCTGTCCTCTCCATTGCTGCCTGAGCAAAAAAAACATGTCAACAGTGGAACTCTGTAATGCAGAACATTTTCCAAAATGCCCAAGCCATCCTGACTCAGTGGTCCTCAGCAGTGGATGTTTATTATGGACACTGCCTCCCGGTCACCTCTCATATGAAAATACAGTTATGACCCTGACAGTAAATAAAACAGGGTCAGGGGCTCTGGAGCCTGAGGCCAAGTAGCACGGACCAGCCATACTAGCACTCTGTGCCCTGTGACCCTCAGGTATAATCACTATTTTGAACAGTGAAAATACAAAATACATTTTGTATTTCCACCTGCAGTGCTGAAATACAGAGGGGGCTGTGCTGCAGTGTTTAAATTGTTCATGCAAGTGGGTGTGATGGAGGTGTGAAGTGGGTCCCACTAGAGGACTGGGGGGGGACGTGGAAACAGGAAGGACAGGCTTGTCTGTAGTTCCCCCTGGAAATGGTCCCTGGTGCATGCTCCCCCACAAATAACAGCTGGACAGTCTACTCTGTTGCTAGTTCGCATGGGCCAAAACCAGGCCAAGTGCTGCAACTAAAACAGTGTGGACTATGAGCAGAGCAGTGCTGGGGATCACCCAACTCTCTTTAGCTTGTCTGTGTTGGCACAGCCTCTGAGCCCAGGCTTATAGACCAGCCCTGAGCCAGCAGGTAAAGGGGTGTCTTCATTGAAGCAGGATCAAGTTGCCACGAGCACAGGGTGAAGTCAGAATGGGCGTTTTGACATTTCAGTGTTTCTTGAGTTCCTATTCATTCTTCACACTATTGCAACAGTTGTTTGGACTTCATACAGCAAGAGCAATATACTGACAGCTGCCTTCCTGTTGTAAAGTCAACACAGGGAGCAAGAGAAGCCCAGGACAGATCCCGGAGCCACAAGGTAATTTTATTCATCTAACTATGTAGACAGTGATCAGCACCATGGCAACTATCTGAGTCACTTGAATGAGTTAGATACAGAGAGATAGCAACACTTGTTATTTATACAGCACCCTTTATTGGAAAATTAAAAAATGCCAGATACTAGTTTCATTGAATAGGTAAACTGCATTCATTTGTTGATATGGAGGTGCCATAAAACCTGTCTTTGTATCATTGGGATATATCTACACATTAGAGACTGTTGGCAACAAATAAGTAAAACAGATCAAGATTCTAAAGAAAAAAAGAATAAATCAAGGGGATAAAAACATGCTAAACAGATGAAGAATTGGTCTATGTACAGAGCCAAGCCAAAACTTGGCAGCTTTATAAACCAGCTAACACAGAAGTAAATGAAAGTCTAAACAATAGGAACAAATCTGGAACAAATAAAATCATGAACTCAAAAATGTTACAAATTGATTGTAAAGATAAAAATGCCTTTTGAATTAATTGTGTCCCTGTAGTTTATTCTACTGCATACTTTGCTTCTGGGAAGATTTTGTATTTGAAAAAGGCATATGAAGTATATTCATAGAACAGTACAAATGGAAATAAATATTTCTCACTTGAAATAATAAGACACAAATTTGTCTCTATGTTATTAGCTGGTTTTCCTCTGAATCATCTTGAACTTCTAGTCAGACAGCAAAGTTAAAATAAATTATTTCATCATGCTGCAGAATATTTCTTAACTGTGTAATTCTTTCCTTTGCAGAACGCAGGTAGCGAGCAGATTGTGGTTCTGTGTGTCAGCATTTCCCTGGTGACTCTCAGCTTTTGCAGAATTTATGTTTTGACTAAAAGGATGCAGTTATTTTTATAGATAAAAAAATATTTGTGTATACTGACTCCACACAGTCCTGCTCAATGCCAAGAAAAGTATACTCTTTGTCTGAAGCAAAATGTAGACTATATCAATTAGGTCATCTCTGAAGCGTAATTATGAGATAATAGTTGCAACTTCTAATTTCAGGCTTAATCAGTTTTATGACAACCAGCTCCACAGCACACAACTAGTGTGAATGCAATAGGAAAGACTTTTGCCATTTGAACACTGTCATTCCCTTGGCATGCACTTGGCCACCATCAGGGCTTGCCCAGCAGTAGTACAGCCATCCTAAGGAGTATTCAGGAGGGGAAAGGGCTCATGCCAGATCACCTCTTCCCTCATGTCTGCAGGCTCTGTGGTGACTGAAGCCAGAGGTCTCTCGAGTGCCACATTAGCCAAGGTCTCGAGTCAACCAACCTGAGGTAAAATCCTGTCCAAGATAAGATAACTTGTAGTACTCACATTACTGACTGAGCAGGACAAATCAGTCAGATAGCTAAAATTAAGAATATATCCCTTCTTCTTTTATATCCCTTCTTTCCAATTTAAATGTTTTCTCCTTAGAAACGAACCAGCTAATAAAACCATAATGTTATGTCACGGCAGGCCTGTCATCCCCCGTGGCAGGGATGGATCTTACTGGCTTTAAACTCGTCATCCATATCACAATGGATGTGGGCCAACTGTGGTTTCGAGGCCCAGCAAATGACAAGCCAAGTTTGATATATCAGCCAACTAGTAGCATCACTATTTATGCAGGAATGAAGCTGAAGTGCAAATAAGGCCAGTGACTAAACCTTTCCAGCAATTACATTTAATAAGGTATGGCGTGTTATTTACAGAAAAGATAGATCACACAATTCCTACACATAAATGCACACAAAGTGTAAAGACAAAACCTGCACCCCCATAACATGCTAAACAAAATAAATAAAATGGAATTATTTTGGCACAATAACTATTACATAAATAAATACTCTAGAACATAATGAATTAACATTTATTTACAGTCTATTGAAAGTGCAAAACAATTGGCTGAAAATCAAGATATTTGTAAATGATTAAGACCAGAAAATATTTGTTAACCAGCCACAATTAATTCTAGCTGAAGTTTAAGGTTTTAATGTCCAGGAAAATAATCTCTTGAAATCCATTTGTGCATATTGTGCTCTTTTTGAACCAGTCCTTTGCTACCTTTAATGCTATTGATTTTGACAATCTTATTTTGTAATGGAATTTTGTAAAAACCTAATTCATAGTTTAAAAAAAGAAGTAAAATGTAAACACAGATTATTTATCATTCAAAATATTTTCAGTCCTGTCAGTTTTTTGAAATGGCCACACTGCTTGTAGTAGTAGGCAGTATGATTAAGATTAGGAAATTTTCTTAGTATCTGTTGTATTTAAAATGGAAATATTTGCAAGTCTTCTCTGAATGGAATTATATCTTAGACTGCTCTTGAACCTACATTCTTTCATCAGATGCTTACATACATCTTCTACTGAGGTGAACAGTAGCTGAGTAAGCTAAACTGATGATCAGTTTTGGTCCTGACCTGGAAACTAAATCATAAAATACAGATTTTTAATTAGGGAGAAGAAATCACTACCTACCTTAGAATTGTTAGAAGCTTTTTGTGCATTTCCCACTAACTATTCTATTTTATGTTTTGCCTTTTTTTTATCCATATGAGAAATCACTACACTTTAAGAGGAATTAACAGTTCACAACATGGCCACCTGTATGCCTACAGTGCATAAATTCTTCCTCAGCCAAAGTTCTCCAACAGGCTGGTATATTGTGCGTTGCCTAAGACCTTAGAATATGTTTTTGCTTATTTTTGTAGTGGCAGTGCAGTAGCAGAGAAAGTGAAGTTCTTAACAAGTGACCTTGACAGGATAAAAGATCATTTCTCATCATTGCTTCAAATGTTTATGCTCGACGCGGTTCTAGTCGGTGAGACATCTGTGATAAAGTTCTCTGGTTGTCAATCACATTTAATTGCCGCACATAGCTGCGAACATCCTGATGGTTCTTATTAGCTAGGGCTGCATCAGGATCTGGTGAAAGAGAAATGATGTAGGATTGATACACTTAAACGAACAAATGCCTGAACAGAATGCATAACTCTTTACAAGCTGTCACAGGAAAGACTAGATCCCGGTGAGTTAAAAAGAAAATATTTACAAATCAGTCTCTTTGAAACCTTTCCTCCATATCTGACAGTCTTGTTGGTTACTACCCCCACAAATTAACTTTTTCTCTTGGATATCCTTGGCTACATTTACTAAAACTGATGGCCCTCGGTTACGGTTTTATAATCACCCTACCAGTCAATACCTATAAATTATATAGCTAACAAGTATGATTTAAAGCTACCCATCTGCTTTTGAACCAGCAACTTTTACACAGATTCAAAATTATATAATTGATTTAAGCCTCCTTTCATGTAATATTCCCATTCCTAGCTCAGTGTTAAATATTTGTAACAATGTAGTGCTTCGTGGCTGTCCCATTCAAGCCTCAGAATTTACTACCTTTTCATATTACTTAACATAACCCCATTATACCTGCTCCAGCAACAATTATGGAATACCACTGAGTTAAAATATGAGTATCTTCAGCCTCACAGGGAGTACCTTACAATGTAATGAAATATGTGTTAGGTAACTTAAATTTGACTAAAAAAAGATACTGAAGCATCTACAATACATGAATACACATAGACAAAAAAAGTGTGGGACTTAGATCCAGTAGATCTATATACTGAGATTTTGTTATATCAAATGTAGGGAAAATCTACTTCCATTTCTAAATATGTGGAGGTCTCTGTAGTGCTTAAAACATAAAAATTAAAGACACACAGACAATAAAACCTGAATGGTGGGAGAAAAGAAACCCCAAAGAATTTCCCTTAACTTGATCTAAAGTTAAGCTTCGACTCAGATAGAAAGAAACTATTTTTGTGAAAAAAATATTGGTTTATATAATTTATTTTGTTGTTCGAGAAAGAGGAAGGCTGCTCTGAGTCAAAATGGATGAAACCCTGAGGAAATCTCAGTGTGACCGAGACTGACAGTGCACCTAGACAGGATGAGACCCACAGAGCAAACCAGTTTGACCATACAGCTCTGTCATCTTACAGGGCCTCAAGTAAGTTCTGGTAATTATGCTGACAAACAGGTTTTAAATTCATCACCTTATGTCATTTATAAATGTAATGATTCCGGACTGGTTTCCTATTAAAACAGGGTTTATCCAAGCAAGTATCTTGCATGTATCTGTGTGCTGCTGCCTGCTAGACTTATTTCAACCACTTCTGAGCTGACTGGCTAATTTCAACTGGCTCTAATTTGACAGATGGGTAGAGACCTCACAGATATTTAGCTCTTTCACATGCTTGGAAAAGAGATGGAAGAGAAGGGGCTTATTAGAGCTTCCTGAAGGATATTTCACCCTGTGAAACATCACAGGATCCAAACATGGAAGAATCACTGGAAACCAGGCTTTTCAATTCTGGGACACACAGAATTAGTTGTAATTACTGTAGCTACTGATGATAATGCTGACTGTGCAGATGTTGTAATACACTTACTGAAAGATTGGCTTCGGCAGAATTTCACTGTCCTGACAGTGTTGGCAATCATGCGCTGGAAAGAAAAGATGGGATGCAATCAGAGAACAAGCACTGTATTTTATCATCATTTAAACGAAGCACCTAACTGTGCCTGAGTGTGAAGACATATGCCAATAAAAGCAGTCATATGAATGAAAACATAATTTTAATGCTGATACTCTCATATGAGGGTGTGATTTGCACTTACACAGGCTTTAAATAAGCATGAGTATAATTTACATGTGCTCAGAGAGCCCTTTCCCTTGCTTGAATGCTGTAAAAGGCCCTAAATAAGAATGAAAATCGGCCCCTTCGATGTGCATTTCTTTGATAACATCTTACCACATTAAAAAGTAAAAGGAATATCATGTGGAACACCATGGAGTATATACATGTTAATTTAAAGACCATCAGTGCCTAACAGCAAGGCCATTTCTAGAACATATTCAGCAATTAAAGAGCTTTCACCTTTTATATGAGCTTGAGTTTAAAATGCAGTCCTCCTGCAAAATAACAGTGTAAATGAGCATATGAGGGTGCGTGTTCACTGATTCCTCTGGTAGAATGCTCAATTCACAGGTGAGAAGGCCACAGTTAGAACTGTAGACAAGTTTCATCAAACAGTCCTGTTAGATCATGTTAGCTTGCACAAGTGTATCTAACACAACATGGAAAGTGGATTTACTTTTGGTGGGCCCTTCTAATATCAATTCACAAATCAAACCCCACGAGTGACTTCAGTCCTTCTTGGCTGTGCCTCCTTTTCAGTAAAAAACATAATTTCACTCACTTAGGTAAGAAAATATTAACCAATGCACTTGGCTCTGATAAATCAGATGTTATTTTACAATAGTTTTTAAGAATAGAAATTAAGGTAAGCCATAAAGAAAAACATTTCAGATTTAGTTCTGGACTGCAAAATTTTAACTGGCTTGTGTGATTAGTGCCACACAGGTAATACACCCACCAGTGCGGGGGAAGAATTAGTTCTTCTGCATTATATCAAATAAACTGAAACTTCAGCAGTAAAACTTAATTCCTTAGTTAGGTAGTTTGATTCAATCACTGTTATGAGGACAACATTTGTTTCGATTTCTTTTGCCTAGATTAAGAAAAAGTAGAGGAGGGAAATGCTATTCCCAATCAGACTCTAATGTTTGTTCCAACACAGCTACATCTTTTAACACAGCACATTCTCACCAGGCTGCTTCACACCTTCCGGAAATTTTGTGTGAGATTAACAAGCTAGTTAGTCATAAGCCCTCACACAATGGAATTACATATCTAGCACTAGTAAACAGTAAAGCCTAGGGCATACACTCCTCAAAATTCACACACCATTATAACCTTACATGAAAATGATGTTCTAAATAAAATATGTTTGTGAAATCTGTCATTCCAGAAGTGGGAAGCAGCAATGCAAAACATTCCTTATACACATACTGAATAATCTCACACATCTTAATGTACTGTCAAGTTTACAAAAATGGGTATGGCTGCTGGTCAGCATAAGAAATACAATGTACTAAATGTTTGTGGATTACACCTTGTATCATCAAATGAGATGCAGCTATTATGAAACTGATCTAAAATATCTTAATTCTAAAACACACTTTCCCAAAAGATCTAGGGAATTTGGATATGGGCCTGCTTATACTGTTCCTAAAGTCGTATGTATTTACATGTGGAAAACAAGTAGAATTCAAGTTATCCTATGTTAATTTTCATACCTCTTCAAGCCATTCTTACTAGGCAGATTTTTTAAGGCACTTACCTTGAAAACATTCTCACAGGTGCTTAGCATTAAACATGTGAATAAGCCCCATTGACTTCAATGGAACCTCTTAAATATGCACAGGTAAGCACCTATTACCACACTAGACTGAGACCAAACACATTACAGTGTCAGTTCTTCAAGTCTAACCCAATCAAGTGAAAATCAAAACAACACAAATGTATAAGCAAGACTGTTTCATACCTCTGTGGATTCATATTTGGCTCTACTATGTGATGCTGCTATTTTGATTTGAACCAATTCAAAAAGTACTCACCTACAATAACTGTTTCAAGGAGAGACCATAAAGTTGAACTGAACCAGCACAATAAGTTTCAAGACTGTCTAGCTTCAGGGAAAGCTTTGCTAAGGACATTACATTTTTATGAAGACAGCTAGTTGTGCTTGATGTGCTTTCTAGATGGATTATTAACACACACTCTAATTTTTCATACCTGTAAATGTTTAGGTTTTGAAGCCTCATTTCATAATAATCTTTGGAGCACGACTGTAAATTTGGAGTTTGATTAGCTTATTATTAAGCTTCATATGTAAAAACTTAGATTTATAAAAAAAGCATGTTCTTTGGAATAATTTTACGTCTTTTGTGTGGAATTTGTTCTCAAAGCATAGCATTCAGGATAAATACTGTAATGCTGTACTGTACTGAAAGACAATTTATGAGTGTAGTGAAGGCTTTTAGAAAGTTTTCCCTATTTCCAAATTTCTCATTATATGGGCTCTGTCAGGCAAGGAAAAGCAAAGTGGCAATGGACTTGTCTGACTTTTGGTGAAAGGCTGAACTGCCTGGCTTCCTTCAGTTTGCTGAGAGACTTCATTTTAAGGGGTTCCTTTGCCTGTTCCTGACGATAATGTGATTCAATCTGTGCATTCAGAAGTGTCCTGGCAATGATGAAACACAAAATGAATGAGGAAGTTGGTGTTAAGGCTGAATAAACAGAGAAACTGTGGCCCAAAGAGAGCACCACAACCCAATGAGGAGATTCTGAAGCGTTGTGTATCCTTGAAGATACATAATCTTCTTTCACATTGCTTTTTTTCCAAGTACTGTTGTACTGTCTAATAATGTCTAAGCTCGTAACAGCTCCTCTTTGTAAGGTGCAAAATGAACAGAAACACAGCATATGAAACAAAAGTAAATCTCCCTGAATCTTGTAGATAAGTTGGACTGTCTTCTTTTCATGCAAGAAAACTAGAAACATGTACAGAAAAAATGTTCACAGGGAAGTTTAATTGCCTGCTCCTTAAAATTTTTCTTCAAACAGAGGATTACCTCCAGTCAATGCCTGCAAAGATTGACCTCTGTTTACTCACAGTGCTAAGGAAGACCACTACCAAAAAGCCATACAAACCTTAATTTGGATCTCTCTGAAATACAACCAACTGCATAATATAACAAGCAACGGCTACTACCAGCATGCTACATATACACACAACAATACCCTTTCAAGCTTTACACAGTCTGGAGCTGTGGCAGCAGGCCAGCACATTATCTTCTAATCCATTTCAAACCCAGGTTGCTAAATATTATAAATATTCATATATGCCATAGAAAACTACTAAGGGCTTTAGTCACATACTTTTTGCATAATCTTTATGTTCCAAAAATGAAAGAATGTTTGCCTTTTTTTTTTTGCATATGGATCAGAGGGTGAATTCCCTTTTGTTCATCTCCACAGAACCTGAAAACGAATATGCACAGATTCTCTAATCCTCATTTCACACCTGAAGGGTGAAGAGGCTTGACAAAAAGAAGCATCAGTGGTCAGCACCATAGCACTGTCTTGTGCCACCATGACAGGTCAGCACTTTCAGAGAGCTTTTCCCTGACTTTTGCTCCCTCTACAGGTTCCATTTCTGAGACATGCTGGGTAGTGTGACATGAAGATGGTGCCACTGAAAGTGATCTTTGTTCAGACTGTCTGATGATTTGAGAAATGTCATGGATAAAGTTCCCAAATAACTGCATCTTTCCTCTGTCTATGAATAAGAAATTCTGTACTGGCAGCCAGGGTGCAGAATTATGCAACTGAGGTTTGAAAAATGCAGAAATCAGTAAGTAGGCAAGAGTATGAAATATTGCCTGTCCCTACAGAGAGTCATGCTTAGTACTTTCCTCTCTTTCCTCTCTCTTCTTTCCCTGGCAAGACATAATTCTAGGAAAGGGCTTTTAAATTTTTTTTCTAAATATATAGCTATAAAAGCAGTGTCACTTGAACATTATATATTGCCATGTACTGCACTGCAGGTTGTGGGTTGTCCTGTATCTGCTAAATCATACAGAGTTTATAGGAACTATTACTACTGACAGCTTTGGGTGCTTGCCTTCACCTGAAAAGTGGGTCATTACAGATCGCAAACTAACTGTGTTTGCTGCCTACTGACACCTTTTTATCTTTCACATATTTGCAGCTCTCAAAATATCCCCGACCTGCCAAACTAAAACTACAGCATTTAAAAAACTTTACAAGTTTTGTTGCTCTGTGGCAAATATGTCTTCAGTTATTACACAGATGAGTCCTCCATAGCAACACTTACAGCTAACATCTACTGTCAACTCACTAGTGGAGAAGAGATGCAGGTAGTTTAGTGGCATGGAGTATATGTCAAAGTAGAAGGGACATCTGCGCAACACCATGTGGAAACAGCTCGTAACTGGGCTCCATCAGCTTCTTGAAGGAAGGTAAGTAAAAGACCTTCAATACTTCTCTAAAACCGTGTCTCGTTTGGTATTGAAGACAAAGCCTTTTACTAAAGACTTACACTACTAAGAGTAGTAATTTAGTTATTCTGTCTACTTACTGACAAAAGTATAAATAACATTTTCCCAGATGGATTTTAAGGCCAAATGCTTGTTTGCTCCACATGCACCCCCCCCCCCTTGCTTCATACAGTAAATGGCATAGTAAAGAGCACAAGTACAGTGCAAATACAGAGAGCAGGAGCATACCTATTTCTGACACATTCAATACTGTTTGCCCACATCTTGTACAAACCAAATGGGGCCATTTACAAACGTCCCTCTTTATATGTAGCCGTGGCTCTGCCACACATGGTTATTCTCTTCCCTGGCTAGCTGTCCCTGTCCTCCCACTCCTCACAGCCTCCTCCAAATAAGGCATCCAGGGGGATCAGGAGATGGGGAAGGGGAAGAAGGAGCAGGCAGTCACAAAGGCAGTCACAAAAGCTCAGCAACGCTCTGCAGAGTGATGTCCCTCTACTACTGCCAATACCACAGCTCTGTCACTACACCCCTGAAAAGATGAATTTATAGGAAAGTGTAGCAGGAAAAAATCGACTCAGGCTCTTTCCTTTTTAGCTTGAGTTGCTAAAAATGACTAGGCTAATGTGGTTTCACACCATCTGTCTGTT